ATCTGTATTTGGGATGTATAGATATATATCTCTTTATATATATATATATATTATATAGAGAGAGAGAGAGAGAGAGAGAGAGAGAGAGAGAGAGAGAGATGGGTAGGTAAGAATGTTCTTCAGGTTGTGAATGATCAGAAAGTCATTAGTCATATGAAAAAGTGATGATGAGATGTGTAAGAATGTTGCTCAAAGATCAACAGCTATACCTAATAATTAGGTTAATCAAATTAAGGGGAAAGTACTGTAACAGAAGAAATCTGATTAATTAGTGTCTTAATTAGGTTTAAGAAATCTAGGTCTCAATAGCTGGACCTTGAACAACAGCATAAATTAAAAAAAAAAAGTATGAAATTATTGTACACATGGTCTAATCAGAAAAGAAAAAACCAGGTTTTCTGACAGCACAACATTTCTAGGGTTTCCAGCTTAACTGCATATATAAATGCTTGTCATTAAAGTTTTGAAACATTTAAACTAATACAAAATTTGACAAGAATCATCAATAACTCTTCGATCGGATCAATCGATCTTCACCCGTGATTAATTATTACGTAATAATAATATATATTCTACTGATCATGATGAAGCCCTAATTAAGAGATTTTGATCAAGAATGCTGAATATATCTGAAGGCCAATGACTGGAGTTCATCCGTATCGTGATCTTGAAACGACCACTGCATCGTCCCATTCGACTGCATTTCGATCGAGTCCATGCTCCCGAACGACGAATTCTCTTCCGGAAAACACGAGTTCTCGTACTTCACTTGAGAAGGGTTGAGATTCGTGTAGTAGTTTCCGCTCGACGGATTATTGTAATACGGCACGTGATTCTCACTAACGTTGTTGTTGTTGAAATTTGGATCAAACATATTAGTTGTGCCCTGATTTTGCAACAACCAGCTCTGAACATCTTGCGGAAACGAATGGGCGCTATCGCCGAAGAACTTGTGATTGTTGTTGTTATTATAATTAGGGTTTTGATCAGCACCACTAGTGTTGTTGGAGCTGTTGTTTAAGATGCTTTGTGCTGCTGCTTGTTCCTTGAGTGAAGCTAATTGTGCTTGTAAATTCACAACCTGAGTATATATATATTTCAAGAATCATTAAAAACAATTTCTTTAAAATAAAAAATGATCATCACCAAATGAAAAAAAAAAGGTAAAGTTAAAATCACCTGCTGTTGGAGGGCAAAAATATGTGAAACACAGCCATAGATGGGATCTTGAAGCCTAGCTTGAGCTTCATAAGAAATGGTGACGGCAGCCTCACACCTGTCAGTCACAGGCAGGTGAGCGAGAAGTTTCGACACGTTGCTCGCACCGAAAACCTTATGAATGGCTGCAAAATGAGTGGCGCCTTGTTCATGGCAGAAATAAGGGGCGAAAACACACCCCCTCACGCATTTCCTCCTCAAGAATTTGCACGCGCCGCATGGTGAACCTGATCCTGTCATATTCATATCACTTTCTTGAAAAAAAAAAAAAATTTTTTTTTTTTTTTGGTTGTTGTCTGAAGATTAAATTGGATTTTTTCTTAGTGAAGTATGTATGTAATAAATGGAGTTTTTTTTTTGTTAATTTATGGAATGATGATGAAAGGTGATTAGCATACACCAGTGGTATATATGCAGGGTGAGGGAGAAGGAGGTGACTATATTTTATTGTGTAAATTATTGAATGCTGTTCCCTTATTGGGCAGCAAGAATTCAATATTTTAATTCCTTAAATAATAAATAAATAGTTTTTTCTATTTTATTTTTTTCTATTAACACCATCCGTCCAAAATGTTATACCCTGGTTTAATTTTGAGATTCCAATTTCAGTATCATCAAAGGACAAAAGTGCTAACATTAATAAAACAAAATTAAATAATAATTAAAAAAAAAAGAGCTATCATTAATAAAAACCGAACCCTCCCATTCTCTTTGCTCCACGATTGGATTATGATATCCCTCCAATTTTAATGTAAGATAAATGATTGCCAAAGAGGTTTTGAATATGAAAATTAATTAACCATTATATTTATTTATTTTATTTATTTTTCTTTTCGTTAAAAGTATTTTCATCTGCAAACACGATTTTTATGTTTCGTCTTCAGTTTGACTTTATATAATTAGCTGGCTGTGAGTAGTATGATTTTAATTTTAGTTTTAATAACGCAATGTGCAAGTTTCGGGTTTTATTTGAATTAATGGTCCTCCAAATTATACTTGTCGTATTTTTTCATTCAGAGCCGAACTCGAGCCCGAGCCATTTTGGATTAAAAAAAATTATTAGAATTTTATTATTGTAAATTATAATTAAAAAATGACCTGTAATTTATTATTTAAATTATTTATATGAATTCTATTTAATTTTAGTTATATTTAAAATATAAAATAAATAAAAAATTAAATTAAAAAAAAAAAGTGGCGAGCTCAAGAACAGGTAAGAATGAGTTCAGATTCGACACGTCAGAAAGCTCGAGCTCGCGAGTTCGTTGACTCACCGAGCTTATGAATCGGTTCAACTCATTACACCCCTAGAGTCGTGTGTGTGGGGGCATGAGTAGGCCTATATCAATAACATGAGATGACGGTGGTGGGGATTATTTCACACACACAAAAAAAAAAAAAACATTTTGCATTAGCAAAATTAATGCTTATTGGCTAATTAATTGTCTCCTACAAATAATAAATAAATTGCAATTTGATGAATAATTTAAAACGAATTTATGGGACAAATAAATAATGCAACCACATTAAACTTTGACTGGTATTTCATTCTCTAGTACTATAGTACTACTATAGGCAGTTATCATGTATACAGTTGCTCGCCGTGTCGATATTGAACCAAATTTCTTTGACCATATGTTAATCATTTTTTAGAGAGAGAGAGAGATCTAGAGAGAGAGAGAGAGAAATATATAATTAAATTAAAATTAGTAGGGCATAACTTTAGAAACACATTAATAGAGATATTTATAAGTTTCTGTTATTTTGCCAATGTCTTGATCAATGATTCATCAATTAATCAGTATAATTCAGACCAGCTCGTTACCCCATATAATCTCGAGATTTTAACTTATGCATTTTTGTGCTTCATCAATTTCGAGCAATAAATAATAATAGTACAAATATGTGTGTAACTTATTATAATAATATAAAGAAAATATTTTGAATATTATATATGATGGAAAAAAAATCCAAAGTAGAATGAAACAAAAGATAGTGCGACTAGAATAGAACACCTGACAGAGGAAAGCATATAACATGGAGGTTTTAAAGTTTAAGTGTTGGAGATCACAACTTGTCGACCAATACCCATTAATAACACTTACCTTAATTATTAATTACTTATTTAATGCTACTCCATATTATTTTGTGATTGGATATATTCTCATTCTAGAAATCTTATCCTAAACTAAAATTCATGTCATTTTTATAAATTAAAAAATAAAATTAAAAAACAAAACCCTAAATGCAGTGCCGTTTGTTTAATTTGCATTTCCAAATTGTATTTTTTTTCAATTACTATTATTTTAAAAATTCGATATTTAAAATTTCTATGTTATATTATACACTTTATTTCCATTTTTAACTTTTTTATTTGAAAAAAATATTATATATTTTTTTCTTTCTTTGTTTAAAAATCAAAATCAAAATTATTTGAAAATTGAACTAAACGAATTTTATACACGCGCACAATAATTAACATAAATTACCCTTCTAGCTACTTTCTCTAGCTAGGGCTAGGGTATAACTCAAATTAATTAAAAGACTGATTAATCTAGAGTAGAGATGATTAAGAAATTAATCAATGAAGTCCCAACGTACAATGAATTAACAGTGTTTTCTCATTCTTGCATGGCATCGCCCATCTGGCAGCCATTACCCCATTACTCTCTCTCTCTCTCTCTCTCTCTCTCTCTCTCTCTCTCTCTCTCTCTCTCTCTCTCTCTCTCTCTCTCTCTCTCTCTCTCTCTCTCTCTCTCTCTCTCTCACACACACACACACACACACACACACACTAATGGCCACTTGAAGGAAGAATTAAAGAGAAAGAATGATTGCAGACAAGAAGGCATGTCAACTAATTGGGATCCTTAAAATAATAATCAACTTTGAAGGCAATAATGTAGCTACTATGTTCGTTCAACTAATCTTTTATAATTAAAGCAATACATACTTACATACTTATCTATTTAATTATTATTTAATCCCACTATATATTTACCCTTTTTAGTTATTCCTTTTCTTTTTTTATTATTATTGTTATTTATGAATGAAAGGGGTCTACCCCCTTTTTTCACTTTGTATTTTATATTTAGGGTTTAGTTTATGGAGGTGTTTATTCTGCCATGATTATGGTAGATCAGATTCTATTTATATATATACTATATAGTTTATGTTTTAGCAAACTTGTCCTTGTCTTTGTTCTTCTTATTATATAATGATGATGATCATAGGTTTTCTAATTGAGTTCACAATATCAATTAATTAGTATAATTCTTATATTGCACTTTTTAAGGATTAATATATGTATTTCCCATAATCTAGTTTAAGTTTCAAAGAAATATACATTGGTTAAATATTATGAACTCCATTAAAACTTGTTCGAACTCAAATCAATTGTTTATCAAACTGAGCAAGCTCAAAAACAATTTTAAAAGCTCGATAAAAATTCAAATAAGTGTGAACACATGCGTTTAACTCGACTAGGTTCATTGACACCCTTTTTTGTGGACCATTAAGCTGATCTGGGAAATTAAATATAATTAGTATAGTAGTGTGAGTGGGTGAATAGTGGTTGGATTAGATTAAGGAAACATCTTTCAAACCTATTTTAAACTGTAAACTGCTCCCTAATGCCTAGCTATATACCTGTTTTAATAAAAGTTAGTTGGTTTTTTTACAATTTTAATTAATTAAAGAGAAAGCAAGAACAAGGTACTTAAACAAATAATATATTTCGGCTCATTCGAATAAAAGAAGATCAACATATATATATAATCCGTACGTTAATGGGACTGCGAATGTCACGCTTGTTAGCTTAATTTTTAGAGTTTGGACCACTGCATGCTTTAATTAATTATGCTTTCATTAATATTTAATTATCTTTAATTACCGGATAAATGGCCAGTTGGTCTGACGTAGGGCTAAACATTTCTAGCCCTGTTAGAATTTAGGTTTGCAAAATCAACCTATTTTTGTGGCAATTTTGGTATTATGCCACGTCAGTAATTGAAATTTCTATTTCAACATTTTTAGTTTCGAGTTCGAAAAAAACAAAAAAGGAAAAAAAAATACACGAAGACGAAGACGCGCGCGCGCATCACGATGTAGTATCGAAGTGCGAAAAAAATCAATCACCTAAGCAATGTGAAAGTACATAATATTAAGTGCTGTGGTTGGAACTTCATATTGGCAATTAGATAACCAATTCTTGATGATGCCTCCTCCATAAGAGCTATTTGAGGTCTCGTCAGATTCCGGCCACCTCTCCACCAGTTTGAATCCATATCGAGCTGCAGCCGAGAGTATACAAGCCTCGTCAACTCTCCGCAAAACATGGCACAGAATCAAACCTCGGTCTTTGATACTTTCTCCAGATACACCGGTCGATATCAATGCTCTGGCGGTAGCAAATAACGGTATAATTGCCTCCTTTACGTAAGTCACATCCGTGCCAATTATGATGTCAAAACCTATATCGCTCAGTTTCTTGATGGCCTCTGTATCTTCTTCATTCCCCCACTCGAGTCTCTTCACGTGCAAAGAATCGAGAAACTGTGGTTTGACATTTGAAGCTACGTTTTGGGTCAGCAAATCGAGGGCTTTTGTGTCTCCGTCGGTGGCTACCACTAGATTGGCCGATCCGACGGCTATCATTGAACAGACTCCTGCGCATCCACATCCGAGTTCTAAAACCCTTTTTCCGGAAGTGATTTCTTGATTGGCTGCAAGGACGGAAGCCATTAGCCTTGCAGATTCCCAGAGCATCAAACCGGTTGATGGGCAGGTATGTTGATACTCTTTTGATAGGACTTTGATCTTGAAGAAGTAATCCCTTATAGAAATCTCTATAATCTATAAGAAAAATACAAAATAAATTTTCAGATTCAGGTCTCTTAAGACAAAACGAAAATAAATAAATTAATGGCAATCAGTACCTCTTCACTCGAAGATGAAATACCGAACATTTCTACAGCCACTCCATCTGATATATCGATTTCAAATCCATTAACATCGTCTTTTCTTTCACAACCCTCTTGTAGATGTACTGATTCATCTTTAGTCTTGGCACCAGAAATGCATTTAGTGTCGGCTAACTGAAATACGGCTTGAACCCACCGCCTGTAACAGAATCGCAGTTTTTAAGAGGACAACAAAAAATCAGAAATGCGTTCGGAAACATAAGAAACACGCAAAAACTTACCGATTCATTACAAGCTCTCTTGATCTGTTTTCCACTTGTTTGCAGCACAAGACATGTTCTACCATACTAAATCCATTTTCTTCAAAAAGATTTCTTAAGAACTCGTCTGCGAAGTAGAATGCTCGCTGACAGAAAAATGGATGCTATAAGAAAACTGGATATATTCATCGAAATTCAAGAAGTATTAGTAAGCAACTTACAGTCCCATCACCCCTAACGTAGAAGTTCTCGCTGATCTTTTGTTCCTTGCCAGTGAAGCGCTCCTGTTTGTATGGCAGTATATATAGCATTAGGATATTTCAGCATAAAATTAAACAAGAATTTAAATAGGTCCGAAAAAAAGTTAATCATTCTGCTGCAAGATCAGAATACCTGAGCTAGATCACCAATTGCATAATCACGAAACAGTATACGACCATTTGGCTAGATATGGAAAATAGGGTCATGTTAGCATAAGTTAAGCGTAAATTGAATGGAACAATGTGATTGTGCAAATTTTCAGTACTCACCTTGAGAACTTTTCTGATATTTTGTACTACTGTAGGCATTTTCTCTGGCGACACTGCAGATAAAACGAACATCTACTTAAAAGAGTCAGCTAGCATGCATTAAATCGACACTTCGTTGTCAAAAGAAAACAAATCTGATTTTAAGAGCAATTTATAATTACCAAACATCTTGAAAAATGAAAAAAAAAAAATCTTTAAATCAGCACCAACTAAAACTAATTAATTAATTACCATAGTTACGATGTCCACTGAAGAAGGAGCAAGTTGCACACTCAGATCATCTATGGTAAGATCAGAAACAAATGCATTGACTCTGGCCTCTGTGAAGTCCTTGTGCATCTAGAATTTACAAAAAAGTCGAAACCAGTGTGTCAATAGTTGTAACCTGTGAAGATCATCTTAATTGGCACTTGTAAGGTGTATGACAAATTTGAAACATAAGAGTGAAGAAAATTTGAAAATTCATCCAAAAAAAAAAAAAGAAACAGAAATCTAACCTTAACCAAATTGACAGCACGCGGTGAAAAATCACAAGCATGTACGAATATATCCGGGTATGCTGCAAGCAAGGGAAAGATAGTATTTCCAGCTCCACAACCGACCTGGTAAACAGGAAGCTTTAACAACTCAAGTGCATGTATCGAAATATGAAGAATAAAGGGATATGTCAACTTCCCGAAATGACAAAGCTGCCCTCAGGATACAATCTCATGGCATAAAGCGGATAAGTGGCGTAATAGAATAATATTAAATTAAATCCTAAATAGTGGATACCTCTAGAATAGCCTTTGTTCCTTCTTCCTGCAAAAGTTGTAGCCAGTGTATTAGGACCAAGCTCGATTAACAGAAGCATATAATTATATTTAGAACTTACAGAGAAGTGGTGCCCCCATTCCTTCTCCAAATAATGACGATCCTTAAAGAACTAGAGAATGTGCAAAAAAAAAGAAGCATTCAGATATTAAGCATTTGGCAGGAAAGAAGAATAAGTAAACAAAAGAAACTAACCTTGTCTTGATGGCGCTTGTAAAAGATATCCCAGTATTTCTTTGCATCTTTTTCATACTTATCTGCCGCAACATAAACTCGGATTTAGCTTATCAAACACTTGCATTTCAACTATTAGGAGAATTATTTATGGCAAAAAGAGAAAAAAGAAAAGGTTTAAAGAAATGTGACCTCTCCAGAAAGCAGATACTTCATCATTAGAAGGTGAATATATTTGTATCTTCCCTTGTTGTACTACGTCCGATGGGGATGCCATTGCTACACCTACATTTTCTACTATATCAAAAATTGGATAAAAGAAGATTCGAAAATTCCAATCAAAGCATCTCTTACCTTCGAGTGAAGTAGTAAAGTTAAAAAAACAAAGGCATGTAATGCAACCTTCAACTCAACTAATTAAGCAACAAATATAGAAGAAAAGTTGAAATCATTGGTGAGGTTCGAACTTATAACTAAATACATTTCAAGGATTAATATTGCAATATTGAAAATTGACGAAAATAAAAAAATGGATCACTGATCCACATTCAGCTAACAAATCAACAAGTGAATTACGATTGCCCATAAGATAGCTGAAGTGCATCATACATTTACGAAGATTGGCAAATTACATTGCACGAATTTCAATGAATCAAGCAATTTAATTATCAATTAACAAATATTTTAACAAATTAAAAAAAAAAAAAAAAAAAAAAGTGAGAATCTACTGGAAACCGGAAGGAAGAAGATTAAAGCATACCTTATTGGCCTACTAGCGAAGAAATAGGAATCAAACAGCTGCTTGAAAATTAACTGGTTCTGATTTTGAGCGAAACCTGAAAACAATTCAACGGAGGGACGTTTAGTTGAAGTGTTGTAAACCCTTGCAGCCCGTGGGAGTGTTTTTTAAGTTTTTTATTTATTTCTTTATCTTCTTTTAATTTTTTTTTTTTATTTTAAGTTATTGAAAATCCATTTATCTTTTTATTTATTTATTTTAGCTTTTAAGAGTTTTTTTTTTTTATGGGGAAAAAATTAGAAATTTAAATTCTCTTGAACAAATTATGTTGCATGGTTTTTATGTTTGTCGATGACAATACCATATAAGCTTATGGAAAAATGTGATTCTATTTAGAGATTTTGAGGAACAAAAAGCGAAATATAAAAAAAAAATATATGCTGTGAAGATAAATTACTACACCGGGCCATTACATAACTCAAAGCAGTCAAAAATCTATGTAAGTTTCACCACAAGACCAGGCAAAATTATTACATCTCATCTGAACAAAATAAAGATAAGTGTTATAATTACAATAAATTGAAACTGTATGGAGGCTTGTATTTGTATATCTAAGGATGATTTCATGATACTGGTGATTTTTTAGTATCATCTTCACTTGTTGCTTTCTGCTCTTCCTTTTGTGGACTCGTGATATTATTCTGTTCTTTCTCCTCCAGGTTGGCACTTGCAGTTCGTTCGATATTATGCGGGACCCCATTTTCGGAAACAGGCTGATTACCACCGTTCTCCAATACATTTTTGGTAGCTACATTAAGAGCAGGTTTCGGTAATTCTCTTGCAGGTGAAGTTGCTAATAATCGTCCAATTCCATCGAATAAATTTGTAGCATCTGTTATCAGAGGAGCTCCACCTGGGTAACATCGACCGAAGCATGTCGCAGAATGTGGAAAAACAACCTGCATTTTGAACAAAAATCGAGTATTTAATATAGAGATTTGTTACTTGACTTATACGAAGAACAGAGCCAACTATTGCTTCTGAAGATAGACAAATTTGTAAGACATGTTACCTCAATAAATGCCTGGCAAAGTTTAAGGAAAAGTACAGACTCGTTGGTTTTCAGCATCCTAGTGGTGTTGTATCTTAGTAAAGAATCGGACACAGCCTGCAAACCCTTGACTAATTCTTGAGCGATTAGATTTTTCAAACTTATTGGAGCACAAGGGCGTAGTTCATTCATCGCCGCAGATACACCTGAAACCAGCAGACGGGAAAATGCAATAAACCTAAGTAATTATAATTTCACTAATCAAAGTACATGGCAAAAAAGAGAAATGAATTTTCAAGTTCACCATTGATAAAAACAGCAAGAGGTGGATGTTCCATGAGATTTGAAGGAGGAGTGACATCGTCTTGACTTTCTTCACCGAAACTATTGGCAGGGAAGCCAACTGATGGCAGTGGGACCCATCGATGAGAATCCAAGACTAACTGGATTAGTAAATAAAAAGTATAAGATCGTAAATCTTCAGCCAGGAATAAATAATTTTGCTGTAGGAGGTTCATAGCGATCGAATACACATGCCTAATAGAAAAGCAAGATGGAATTGTAAAACTCAATGCATTGCAGTAATTCACATACCTGAAAATTCTCAACAGCTGTGGTCATATTCTTCGAAAATAAATTGAGCACTGCTCTGTAGAAATAAACATATCCAGAATTAAAACTTGCCAAATGACTAATGACTTAAAAAGATACTTTAAATGGCCTATATATATATTTACTCTTCAAAAAGTGGGGGCAGCAGTCCTCGAAAATCCAAACCAACCCATCCAAGGCCCATAGCACAATACTGTAAACCAAAACCAGAGGAAAAATAAATCATTAACTTTTAAATTACAAATCTGTTTGTCATAAACCAACAAAAACAGCCAACAAGCAGCATTCATACCGACACAAAGCTAAAACTAAAAAGGAAATATCCAACCCTCATTATGAGAGTTGAGGGGGGTTGGTACCTTGACTATTAGGGTCAAGGTCTAGGGTTCAAACCTACTTCCCCATTTGGAGTAAAAAAAAAAAAAATTGTTTTTGTGGGGGGGGTGGATATCTGATAACTGATTCTCACCATGCACTGATCCAGAATATTTGACAAGGATCCACCGTCACTTATACTCGGAAGCATCAATTTAAGAGTCTTCAGATGCAATGTAATCTGATGCATGGCCCAGTCAAAGAGAAGGCCACCATCGTAATTTTCTTCATTCCCTGATGTGTCATCGGCAAATATGGCTCGATACTGGTTAACAACATCAAAAAGATGCATTCTGTGACAATTTACCATCCCTTTCAGATACTCGTAAGGATTTCTCTGATCTAAATCGTCAAGTATTCCAGTAAGCCAGGCTTCACGGCATCTTAGAAACTGAAAACCAGACAAGCATCATGGATCAGAAAGTTACACCTTAAAAGATGTACTGACTGGGGAATACAAAAACCACGATGAAATAAAATCCTATTCACATACTAAGCACAAAATTTTAACTACCTGTAGGCGCATTTCATACTCACTGAAAACTCCTATTCGGCGTAAATATCCAATCAAGCGGAGGCATTCTGGTAACTGCAAGCAAAATGATGAAAAATGTTCGATCACATTAGAGCAATGTGCTTATTATGAAACAAGACCAGTACCTGAATGTTAGATCTAAGTTTCTGGAGAAGCTGAAAAAGAAGAGACTGGGTAGTCTGCCGAACTTCTGCAGCTAGAGCCTGAATCACAGGAATTCTTTTTTTGAAAGAGAAACAGAAAATAGTGCCTCAATAAATGCGTCGAGCAGGTCTACACATGAAAAAGATAACATGCTGTTATGAGAACCATGGCAGAAAACTCACTTCGGATGCATTGTAGTAAGCTTTGCAACAAATGCTTCCAGGTCAAGAGCTTCATCATAATTTCCGTTTCTCACACACCTGAATAAATATGCTATCTAATCATTCTTTCAGAAACTTTAAGCTGTATTTAAAGACAACATATGGTATCAGGTAACTGAAGAAGCATATAAATAAGTTGGGGAAATGTACGTTTCCATGAGTTGAGGAATTTCAAGCAAATCAAGCAAAGTGCTATGATTTGCTAGTAGTGTTTGGTTCATCTTTCTTTTCTCCAAAATATCTTCGGCGGAATCAACAAACTCAGTGCAGCCAGATGTTAGCTTCGGAATTTCAGCTATCTGCAGAAGAGGGCAAACATCTATTAATCTCCATGAATTTATCACTATCACTGTATCACATACTAATGACACAAGCACAACGAAGAAACAAATAAAAACTATTGTTATACGGTGCTAATGTGTGGTACTGTATCCAAGAGTCTAGCCGCAAAATTCACCCCTATGCTTTAATGAACCCAGTATTTGCATTCAAAGATTTCAACTTTTATAACGTTACTTAACTAATTGCATTCAGATATAAGAATGCAAATGCACTCTCCCTTAATTAGAACTACAAAATGGCAAAAGAAAACCATATTTCCACGTTATACCCCAAAACAATCAAAGTAGAAATGCATGAGTTTCGAAATCCAAAAACCTGCTAAAGAAATTGACAAAACTACCATAATTATTGGGCTCCTGAACTTAATAGTAAATTCAACTTTTCTTATCCTTATTGAAGGCTATAACCGAACCTTCAAATTCGCAATTTACAATGTATCGATTTTTTTCCATCTATTTTGCAATGGAGCAGCTTAACATTAACAATTCACAAATATCAATACAAAGACTCCAGCTAAATAGTACCTCAAATCAAATAAATAAAAAAGACGTAAATAGTCAAATTAAGATTTACCAGAGACTCCAGATGCTTGTCAATTGAAGAAACCTCCTCTCGGATCTCGAGCAAGGCATCCGCCGCCGCAATAAATGCGCGGTAATTCCCCACCGCCACCTCCTGCATCTGCCGCCGTATTCTCTCCGCATCTACTTTCAGCAATTCCGGTTCCTTAGACAAAAAAAAAAACACAAACATTGCCTCAAATTTAAACACCAGACACAAAATCAAGCAATATGCGACTGCACGAATACCTTATGGAGGCGATCGAGAGTGAACGAGAGGAGTTCGGACACGTAGGGCTGCTGCGCGGCGGAGGCAAGAGGAAGAAGATTCGACATCTCCGTGTACGCGTCGGAGCTGGCCGTATGTTCTGGCGACGCCATTGCCATTTTTTAATTCCAGACTTTCGATCGATCTCTGTTGGAGATCTATGAAGCCGGGGCTTTTATCTGACTCTAGTGAGAGTTTTCAGTGGGCCGATACGATATTTTCAATAATATAAGGTTCATTTTGAAATTTTCAAATAAAGCCATATTGCTCACCTGAAGTTTGTGATATTGCATTTCGGCCCCTTCAGGTTTTTTATTTTTTTACTTCCCACTTTTTATTATTTGAATCGTTTTCTTTTTTTGAATGTCCAAAGTGATCAAGAAATAGTGAAGTACCATATGGTTGGATATTTAAAGAAGATATTCCTCATCATAATCAACTAGTTCAATGCATGTTTTACTAGTAATTACAAATTTAAGAAGAAGATTAAGTAAAAATTGCAACAACTAGTTGAAATTTTCTCGAGGAGTCGATGATCTACGAGACGTATGCCACTGGCCTAACCCACACTTCATTCCGAGTTCTTTAAGCCTATTAAGCTCCGGCAGTATCTCCTTACCAAGATCAGGCCTATCTTTCTTTCTCAGCTCGGCACATTTCAATCCCAGTTTCGCAAATCCGAGCGCCTCTTCGACCGGCCAATCAGGAACCGTTGGATCAAGCAAATCTGCAAACACTCCTTTCTCGATAGCTCTTTCGACATGATGAGTCAGCCCCATCGGTGGCCTAGCCGTGATTATTTGCAACAAAACCACACCGAAAGAATATATATCCGATTTTGTCCCTAATTTCCCCGTTTGTTGATACTCCGGATCTATGTAGCAAAATGTGCCAGCTGCTGATGTCATGTGGTATTGAGTCACGATGTCGGCAACCGAAGGTGGGACCAATCGAGCCAAGCCTACGTCACTAATCTTGCACGTGTAGTGATGGTCTAGAAGAATATTCCCTGGCTTTAGGTCGCGGTGCACGAGCGACTCGGGTTTGGTTTGGTGGAGGAAAAGAAGCCCCGTTGCTATATCGGCCGCGATCTTGAACCGGACCCCCCATGGAATTGGAGGGGTGTTGCCTTTTCGAAATAGACGATCCTCTAAACTCCCGTTGTCCATGAATTCGTACACTAGGCATCCGTATTCCGGACATGCTCCCATTAGGAGTACCATGTTTGGATGTCTTATGCAGCTTAGGACTTCAACCTATACAAGAATGTAATAACAAGGACACAATTATAACCATTAAATGCCGTTTCAATTTTATCGATACTATTTTGACTTCAAATATGATTTTGACCATTTTCAATCTGAAAAAAGAAAAAAAGAACTAGTGATGATGTTTTAATACCTCTTGTTGGAATTGTTTTCTTCCTTGTGCAGCATCAGCTCGGAGTAATTTGATGGCAACCGGAGTATGGTCGAGTTTGCCTTTAAAAACGGGGCCGTAACCACCTTCCCCGATTTTCATGGAATTCGATAAGTTATCGGTAGCTATTTGAATTTCCTCTATGGTGTATTTTCTGTAACGAACGTCGCTGTTTGACAATACGTCAAGAGCTCGATTCTTATCTTCTGATTCCCTCTTTGCTTTCATCTCTGCATGCTTTCTTCTCTGCGTTTCCTTCTCAGCTATCTTTTGAGCTTTTTCCGCTGCTTCAATGGCTGCTCTGCATTTTGCTTTTTCCATCTCCACAAGTGCGAGGGCCGCCTCTTCAGCTAAACGGGCCTGCTCAAATCTGTTCACTTCATCCATCTTCATTTGTTTAAGTTCGTCGACCTAAATGTGTAACAAACATATATAAAACGTTAAACATTGTCTTATTTTTACGAAAAATTAAAATATCATCATATTCATCAGAAATTAATTAACTTACCCTTTGTTGAGCTGAAGCTGCATCTTTGCAAGCTGTGTTGTACATGTTCATCGTTTGCTCCACCTCTAGCTTTAGTCTTACAACTTCGTTCTGCCGTTTATTCAGGTCATAAAAATATGATATTGAACACGAAATTAAATTCTTGAATATAAAAATAATTGGCTTACATCTGCTTTTTTATTGTCTACAGTTTCCACTCTTGTGATATCCATTGATTGAAGGTCGAAACTGTCCCAATGATCCGTCGGACTATCGAACAAAGAATTTCTAAGCGATCTATTCTGAGTCTCTTGATGGAGTTGATCATTGTTCTTTTCCCCCTTTACACGAGGTGGCCTTTTTTTTCGAATTTAGTGAGAAAGGAAACGAAATTTCATTAAAAAAAAAAAAAAAAAAAATGAAAAGTCGAGTTAACATTGTTAATTACTTGCTTCCATCTTCTTCTTGTTCAGAATGACTAAAGTTGATGAGATGTGCCAGTGGAGATGGCAACTTAGGAGGAATCGGACTTGCTTGATCTTGTCGTACAGCTGGCCTTATCGATTGTGCCTTGCCTTTTGCTATTACATATACGGAACAAAAATCGGGAGCTGCCTTGTTTACCATTGTCGGCACATCATGTGTCCAAAATCTGCAGCACATCAAAAAAAAATAAAAAAAATTATGTCCATGTCATCACATAATTATTAATGAGAGAGAGAGTACCTTAAGAGGTGGTTCCTTGATGAGGCACCAAGAACAATATTGGTGACATGTTTTTTGTTGATGTAGTCTAAGATTGTAGTATGTACTTCGTTGCCCTGTAGAACTTCTTCATGAACTATTGTCTGCAAAAATTTCAATTACAAATTAAAAAAATTAAAAAAAATATTAAGGCACATATATTTGAAAATATAATGTTTTTCTAACCCCTTTACGAGCAAAATATGCCCGATAACGGGAGAAGATATCGTCCACATTTCCACCGTTAGCCTCCACATGAGAACCACCATTCCAACCGTCTAATTAAAACAGAGGCGAAATTTTATTAGAAAAAAAAAACAGAAAAAGGAGAGCAAGAAAAACGTGCAACGGGTAAAAATAGCTACGTTTGGTCTTGACATGGATTAAAATGAGGTTTTTGTTAGATACAAGCAGATTTTCGACGGCCCATCTAATGGTCAAGGTGCTGCGTCTGTCCTTGTCAACGGCCACCGCGACGGTGGGATTAAGGATGTCTTGTGAAACTTGGCCGGATAACATTTTTGTCACAATTATATATTGTTGTGTGAGTAGAGTATCCGATGTTGTTTCATCGTCTTTGGTGGTGGTGCGATGAGGCTAACGCTGCTAGTGCTGCGACTTTTCGACCACCATTGCCGCCACCATGGCATACGTTTATTACGATCAATTTTCTTGCAAGAAGTTTTCTGACAAAAAATGAGAGGAAAAAAAAGGGACACAGATGTATGATACTTTGAATTTTAACAAACATAACAAACTTTTTTTTGGAAAAATATACTATTTTTATCACACTTTCTCGTCCATTCACTCCCTTTTAACATGTTTTTTTATTTGGCTCATATTAATATTTCTCTCTGATTTGTAATTTATTCATGATTTTTCAAATATTTAATAAAATTACTATAAAATAGGAAACCAGTTATATTTAATATTTTATAATTTATTCATGATTTTTAAAATATTTAATAAAATTACCACTACATCTAAAAAAAATCTTATATATAAAACGAAGATATTTTGAACTAAAACCTAAACATAAACCTAGGGTTAATTTTGTAAATTAATAAATGTCTAATTTAACCATTAATTAATAAATTTATAATTTAAACACTAACTCCTATATTTAAATATACCGTATGTTTCTAATTATTTATATATATATTTTTTTATTTTTCTTCTCCACTCTAACCACCCACTAACCCCCCACTAATTCATCATGGTAGAAGTTATCACACCATGATCTCAACCTCTACCAATTTCATTCTTCTATTTAAACTCACGAGAACTCTACCAAAAATCACATTTTTTGCCAACTTTCTTCTTCTTTCTCATTTAAAATTTTGTTCGTCTTCTTCTTCGCTTATTTAATAACTGTGTTATGCCGTTTATTTATTTATTTTTGCATTTGTGTTTGACATATTGTAAATTTCTTTTGCAGCAAACCTGTTCCTATCAACAACAATTCGTGATTGGAGCGAGCTACTCACGCAATTCGGTAGAAGGAAAAAAAATTATGTCAGACATTTATTATGTGCTTCTGTTAGTTAAAAGCTTTTTTTGCTATAATTTATTTATAATATTTAAGTTTTATAATTTACAAGACTTTGTTGCTGTATTTGTATTTGAAGCTACTCAGCAATTCTAAGACATTAAACGTGAAAAAATCAGTAAAGAAGAGAAGAAACCATCATCATCTCACATCATACACCAAATACTTGGCAACATGTTGTACATCTACAAACATTCATGCTAGGCTCGCGAACTATTATTTATATTATTAGGTTTTAAGTTTGTGAGTATATTGATAGGCTATTATTGTTTCTTGAATAGGCAACACAAATCTGCGATTTTTTCTGTTTTCTTTTTTCGTTCGTTGATCCATTATATTCTGATAGAGTTGGCATAGATTTTGATTTGAGAATTTATGCAATTAATCTTTGTTTGCTCAAGTAATGTGAATGTTCTCATTATTTTTAATCTAGAAAGTTAAATTAACATTTTTTAAGTGATTGTTGCACCTTTTGTATATAAATTTGAATTGTCATCATTGTAAATTCAATCAAAAACTTTAGAGGAAAAAAAATGCATAAGGGGAAAAAACTTAAAACGCAAGAGTAAATATTGGAAAACTATCCAATGAGTTTATATGATAAATAATCATGAAAGATCCGTGCATATCATGACAAAAATTATTTGCCTCCCATAAAAGGAAAATAAAAACCAACTACCATATAACCGTGTATTAAGAGTAGTAGATACATTTTGTGGTTGATTAAACAATTACTCTTCTATTAAATGTGAATCGTGTATGCAAGTTTTTCCCAAAACCTAGCTACCTTTTTCATATGATTTTCGTAAAACTTTAACTAACATTTTGCTCTTTTTTTTTTCTATGTCTCACCGACGCTTCCTTTCATGTGGCAAAATTTTGTTGCACATAGTCGTCTATTTCAGTTGTAGAGTGAAGTGATCGCGAAACTGATTTTGCTAAAAAGAATTGCACAATAAAATGCGACCCGCAACAAGATCTAACTACTTAATCGAGACAGAAGAATTTTTGTTAAGTATTTTGCGTAGTTATCATGTTGCATTATCAAATTTGTAGAAATGTTAATGCTATTACTGAAATTTAAATTTATTTATTTTTATTACAATTATTATCGTCACTACCTATTTCAGTAATATTTATTATCTATAATTTTCCTAATAACACACATTTACAACAACTCCCCACTTGCAGTAACTCCCCGTTAATTAATAACTTCCCACATCCACTATATAATAAATTCATATATGTTCCAAGAAAATCGTTCATATTTGAATTTTTTTTTTGTTTGAATCAAAATTAGGGTTGTTAATGACTCATCTTCGTTGGAGGTGGAAACCAACAACAATTCTTGGGTGTACCTTGAGACTCTCTTATTTCTATGTCCATCTACTATTTTATTACTTATTTATTTTTATAATTTTTTTTCTATGATTTTTATCAAAACTAAAGAGTCTTTGCGTACACTTTGTCACGGATTCCCCAAGTATCAATCTTGAGGATGTTAAGAAACAACAAAGTAAGAGGTGTCAAATGATGATATGCTAGACTTCAACAACATATGAAGCATTGGGTTAGTTTGTTCAATTATGAAAACTATTATTAATTGTATTCAACATGTGTTCAATATTATTTATCTTTTTTTTTTAATTCTTTTATGGTGTCATATGTTTTCAATTATTTAATTTCAGTATATTCAACAAATTAAATTTTAAATAATTATTTTCTTCTCTTTTGTAATGGTATTCCGTGCAACGCACAGGGCATGGTTACTAGGGCCATTTTAGTCAATTTTTTATTTTTACATTTTTTTTCTTTCAAACAATGTTGAACACAAAAACCGTCCACTCCGAAGAAAATTCAGTACACGATCTTCCTTATTCCCTAATTCTGTTTTTCTTTCTTCACCCCCCTGCATTTCATCTACGGTTACAATTTTCTCTCTTTCATCCTCTTTCGCACCCCTACTATAAGTTTTCACCTACCATTTCTCACTTCATTTCTGTAAATTCGCTTAGTAAATTCGAATGCAGAGGAAACAACAGAGATAGGACAAAGACAAGCCGGATCTCTCTTGAGAAGTAAGACGGGCAGTTATGTATTGTGTTTCCGAATTAGGATTATATATTTGTATTTGATTTGTTATTACAATCGTATGACATCAAGTTTCTGTATGACCCCGCAATTTTGGTGATAGAGAATTTGGAAAATCAAGTAATTTCAACGACTGGGATTGCGTGACGAAAGAAGCTTTCTCATCATACAAAAATGAGTGAGCATTTAAGGTTTTTTTCTCCTTTTTTCACTACATCTACTGAATATTTAAGGACTATATATTTAATTTTCAATCTTACTCTGGTAGGTTCTGTCATTTGTAGTACATTTGATAAATTATGGAAGCAAAGATGAAGAATACGTAATTGGTTATTAGATGAAGACAGGAAACGTCACATGAACGAGATCCCGCCCTATGAAGATGACTCGATAAAATCATTCCCTCTGTTTATAAGCTTAAAAATATTTTGAGCCAGCGCTTGGAATAAGTTTCTTTTAACATTGGAAGACACCTCGAAATTCAAGATATTTTTATAACCTGTTACTTTAATTTGGTTTTATCATATAGAATTTTACATCAACATTTGATTGTTTTTTCTTTCCTCATTGTTTGCCAGATTTTGCAACTAAGGTTGTTTATATAAATCTTATATAAAGACAACTTTTTCCCCATTATCTGTTTCGTGATCATGATGATGAAATGCAATTTTTGCTAGGGGTAAGTTTTTTGTCTTTTTAGATTTTTTTTTTTTTTCATTTGCTAGAGATTGCTCTCTCTGTGAATTCGTTATGTGCCGTGTAGAATCTGATATTCAAGGTTATGCATTCGGGGCTGGCAGATTTGAATTATCGATTAGAGAATTTAAGAGAAGAATTATCAGATGGCAATAGCAAGATGAAATTGAATTCGTCTAATATCTCTTCGGACCATGGTCCAGACTCGAACACCAGCCTGAATTTGTGTATGGATGTAATCCCGATAGTTATAATTTTTATGTGATTCCTTCAACAACTTATGTGATTTAATCAAGCACGGATATAAATATAGATTGGTTGTAAGTGGAATCTGGAAATAATTTTAAATTGCAAATTATGTTATATATTCTATCATGTATATTTTTTTTGAAGAGTTTCTATCATTATCATGGTCCTAACTTTTAAGTGCATATAAACGATAACTTTATGTACATGTAAAACCTGATTTGTGTTGATATTGAAGAAGAAAATATCCTCATTTTATTTTCCAAAGACTGGAGAAATATCTTGGAGACATAGTTACATGGGAATAGGCGTAACCTGTTTTTTAAGCATCACTACCTCAGTTCGGGAAGCCCTATAAGGTTTTCGGGTTGATATTGCTTGGTTTAATTGTGTGGTGATTTTAGTTGATAGATAGACTGTTAAAGTCTAAAATGCTCCTATGAAGACTTGACTTATGGAAATACCATTTTGGTATTTCTCCTCATGCTTTTTCTGAGAACATTGGATAGGTAAATTTGTGAGCTGTAAACATTGATTTTTTTTGTTTTTACCGATACCGATACCGATCTATTGGTCGTTTTTATAGCTCCTATTGATAGTTTACTTACGTTTTCATACAAGCACACTATCAGTACTTTGTGACTCTTCTCATATCTACTACATTGTTTTGTTCACTTTGTCATAATTTCTGCACATATCAATCTTGACTCTTGAGGATTGAGAGACAACGAAGCAAGAAATGACAAGTGACAATATGTTGTTGTACTTCGACAAGCTATAGAGCCTTAGGTTTGATTGGTCAATCGTTAAAACTATAGTTAATTGTATTAATCAAGTTCTTAGTATTATTTATCCATCTTTGTACGATTTTCTATGGCGTGGTGTATTCTCAATTATTTAATTTAATTATATTTAATATATTAAGTTTTAAATATTTTTTTTATGGTTACTTTTTACGATTTTCTTATGGTGTGATGTATTTTCAATTATTGAATTTCATTATATTCAACATATTAAGTTTTAAATATCTTTTGTTTTATAATGGTACCCGTGCAACGCACGGGTTATGGTTACTAGTAATTAATAATGACATAAAATTTCGTCATATAAATAGTTGTCCTACTTTACCTTGTATTTGAATTTGAATTAATTTGTTCACTATTTTAGATTGATTTAAATAGGCGCTATGAGCTAGGACGACCAAGTACTTGAGTAGTTAAAATTACAACCGCCTCTGAGGCAGGGTCAATTTACGAAAAAAATCCTCGTGTTTGCATAATCACATCCACTCCTGAATTTTCTTAGGCCCATTAACAGTAAATTTTAAAATGTGGGCCCGCTGAGGCCTACTAACGGAATATACGGCTTTAGTAGGCCTAATTGAGAAAACATATTTATTTAAATATAGGCCCATTAAGGCCCAATAACTGACGCAGTGAGGCCTAATAACCGACTTTAGCCCTGTATGATTAGGCCCAACAGCGGAATTTGCGGTTTTTCATAGGCCGGATTAAACCCGACCCGCATCCAACTACCTGTCAACGCAAAACCCTATAAACCCTAACGTACACGTACACTGCCATTGCCCAACCTCTCGAAAATGGAAATGGAAGCAGACGCAGCAGGAGTAGTGTCAATGGAAGAAGAAGATAACGAGTTTACCAAACGCGTAATATGCCAGCTGACGGACTCAGAAGGTGCGCCTCTCGGAGCGCCGATTTTCCTACCAGAAAATGCCGGCCCGAAGGAGCTCCAGCAACTGGTCAATAAACTACTTAACAACGTAAGTTGTTCGTGTGATTTCAATTGAGGTTACTGAAGCTGGAACGGCAAAAGTATTGATTTTTTCTTTTAGAAATCCGGAAATTGTTGAACGAAGTTAGCTTAGTTACTGTATTGCTTTTGCTTTTACGTTTTGGTTCCATCTTTTCTCAGTTACTTTGGGCTTAATTTTTTGTCGAGAAATTGAGCCGAGCCTCTTAGAGTTGATGTTTGGAGCATTGAGTTGATATTGTATCCCTTTGGTTTTTTATAGGCAAAATAACAAGTTCGGGATTTTGAATTTCTGAGATTCTATTTTTTTGTTATTTTTCTTTGCACGTGTTGTTATAATACAGAGGTAATTTATACGTTGATAGGCTTGAATTTGATAATGGATAATTGATTTATTTCAGGAGGAAAAATTGCCATATTCATTTTATGTATCAGACCACGAGCTTCTGGTGCATCTCGGAGCATATCTTAAGAAGAATAAAGGTGAGGATTTCCAACTATATTGCTACTTTTTACGTTGCTTAAATCCATACGGCCTAGTGTTGTATGTCAAACAAGTTGCTAAGATTTCTCACTACATATTGATTGATGCAGTGTCTGTGGAAAAGGTCATCACAATAGTTTACCAGCCACAAGCAGTATTTAGAATACGTCCAGTGACTCGCTGCTCTTCAACTATTGCTGGTATGGATTTTTTTATCTTATTTCTTTCATGTGGTCACACCAGACGCTAACAATTAATGTTATTGTGATTTGTTCACATCTGTCGTATACGCAACCATGATTCATCTCTTTCTGTACTCTTCCATTGTACTCTTCCATACCTGCCTCTGTCAATACTTTCTTTGACCCTTTGTGGTTCTGTAACTGCAGGTCACAACGAGGCTGTGCTTTCAGTTTCCTTTAGCCCTGATGGGCGTCAGTTGGCTAGTGGGTCGGGTGACACAACTGTTCGTTTATGGGATTTGAGTACGCAGACACCTTTATTCACGTGCAAAGGTCAGATCTTTTATTTTGTATGTCAGAACAGCAAGTTTTTACATGTTGTATTTGATATAGTTTTGTACCTTGCTATGATTTGAAACTGCAGGACACAAAAACTGGGTTCTATGTATTGCATGGTCACCGGATGGTAAACATCTTGTTAGTGGAAGCAAGACTGGAGAATTGATATGCTGGGATCCTCAGACTGGGAACGCATCGGGCAACCCACTTATGGTAACTTGATAAACAAATTAGTTGGCTTAGACCAACTTTCTCCTGTGATCTGATTATTTCTGGATTTTGTTTGGATAAAACACTGTCTGAGGATCAATATGCTCTAGAGAAAGACAAATCTGCAAATTGTGGTTTTCTTTTTCTTTCTTGGGAAAAGCTCTGTATACGAGCTTAATTGTGATGCATGAAAACAGCTCGATACATTTAAAAAATGCACCGCCATGGATATACAAGGTCAAGCCGCAATTATGTAGTTGGAAGGACATAGAGTAGAGGCCAACTTCTATGTTGTATCAATAGCTGAATGTTTTCTCAGATTCAACATTGCAAGAATTCAAAAAATTCTGGAACATGTGCGCTCTATGTCAGTGTCTGTACACATAAAATTCATCTCCTGGTATCTTTATGTTTATGGACAAAATTCATCTTCTAAGATTCTCAACAGCTTTGTGTTGACTATTTAAGTTTGCATTTTCTTATATATCAAATATTCAAATTTTGTGCCAACGTAAATGCATACTCTATAACTGAATTAATGATTATGTATCAGAGTTCTTAAACGCAAGGCAACCATCATCCGAGTTCTCTGCTTGAGTTCATGAAACTGATTAACTGTAGCTACGGCTTTATTTTCCTGGTTTTGTTAGAGAAAAAATCAGTACTCTTCTATACATGTCTTTGCATCTCTTAAAATGGCTTGCGTGGACTTCATTGTCATTATTCATGGCTCAGGGGCACAAGAAGTGGATAACTGGAATTTCATGGGAGCCGGTGCATCTAAGTGCCCCATGCCGTCGCTTTGTAAGTGCAAGTAAAGATGGTGACGCAAGGATATGGGATGTAACATTGAAAAAATCTGTTATATGTCTTACTGGACACACACTAGCCATAACTTGTGTGAAATGGGGTGGAGATGGAGTGATATATACTGGGTATGCTTTTCTATCGTTCATGAGGAACTTACTAGCATAATGGAAATTGTTTTTGTGGTTAGCTGACATTATCTGGGTGTTTCCTATCCTTAATTTGAAGCTTTATGCTTGAAAAATATGTGATGTACAATATGAGGCTAATCTCATATGCTGGGGTAGTAAATATTCTGAATAGTTAATTGTTTTCTAGTGAATACGATGCTGTTATGATATCTCTATTGATTTTGAGGTCATGCCCACAATAAAAGAGGCCATATCTTCGACTGGGAAAATTACAGTTCCATCCAAAACAAGCCATTCGGGACTTGGAAATGAGTTTCACTTGTGTATGGAAATCTTATCAGGGGTTTTGATATGAAGAAATTGGTCACTAGCTTTTTTCCTGGCAATGAGTAGGAGGGGATGTGTTGGGGGGGGGGGGGGGGGTATGTATTGTTATATTAAACGTGAAGGACCAATTTATACGTGCAATTTATATTCTGCTTTTCATTTGCAGATCTCAGGATTGTACAATTAAAATGTGGGAAACTACACAAGGGAAGCTAATACGGGAACTGAAGGTATTCTCATAAATTATTCAACAATCTTACCTCTGAATCCTTTTCTTAATTTTGAAAGCGCGTCTCTCTACATTTAGTACTTGTTGATCTCAACTCTCATACTACTAGCCTCTTTGACATAGATATTTTATGTAATTTGTTGTGAACAGCATCCTCAATCTGATTCTTATGTTGCACTTGGTAAAACCATGAGTAAAATTATGTCATATGATATCTTCTCTTATGGTGGCTTACTGAGTTGCTGTTGTACTCTTAAATTAAATTTTGTGCTCCACGAGAAGATTGTGCCAAAAGTTTACTATGTTCAGTCCTAGAAGTGTATGTCAAACCATATTCCAGTTCTCTGTTAAAATGCTTCCTTCATAAATGTTATATTATATTATTTTCTCAATGCAAGGCGAGGGGCCTCTGCATACTCTTTTGTTGCTTTAACTTTCTTTCCCGTCCTCTAAATTTTCTTATATTCTCTCGCTCAGCTTTTTCATTCTTCATATTATGTAGGGACATGGGCATTGGGTAAATTCGTTGGCTTTGAGTACTGAATATGTCCTCCGAACTGGTGCCTTTGATCACACTGGCAAACAAAAGTATTCATCTCCAGAGGAAATGAAGAAGGTGATTAGTTGGTTTTCAACATTTCTGTGCCAACACAGTGATATCATGACTTATTCTCCTTTCTCGTTAAATGCTTGTATATTATGCGTGTTTTTGTCAATTGATGCTGAGGCATGTCGATTTTATTGAACTGATATCACTTTGAAAATTAATGCCCCAAAGTCAAATATAATTTTTTTTTCTTAATGTACATGTATGCTATATTTGCACTTTTGACTGCATATGTTATTTCAGCCATTCTAAGCCCTACTCTTGTTCTAACAGGTGGCTTTAGAAAGGTACAATAAGACGAAGGGCGGTGCCCCTGAAAGGTTGGTCTCAGGTTCAGATGATTTTACGATGTTCCTTTGGGAACCCACTGTCAGCAAACAACCCAAAACTCGTATGACTGGTCATCAACAGGTACAGTTTCTCATTTCCACGTCGCTTGTGTTTGTTGCAATGCAATTATTGAGTCCTTTGGCTTCCAAACATATTATAGTTACTTGATCACACACCCCCCCAATCACCTTCTCTCAGTTATCATCTCTTAGTCACTAAGAATCACTAAATAAACATCCCCTAAATGATCAGAGCAAAAAATCCGCTAGATGCTGATCCTCATGTTTTGTTTAACCACGATTTTCACCTACTAGTATGTCATTAATTGAACCTTTGAACATTCGTCGTTGTGGGTTCCAGGGGTGGTGAATGTGAACCATTCTTTCAATTTAATTTCCCGAGCACTACCTCCTCTCCCTATAGAAGTTATTAAACATAATTATTTGATATTTTGGCGATATGAAATTCGAATAAAAATCTTTCTTGCCCAATTACTGATTTTAGAATGTATTCTTCTGTAGCTTGTGAATCATGTTTACTTTTCTCCCGACGGGCTATGGATTGCAAGTGCCTCGTTTGACAAATCAGTAAAATTATGGAATGGAATTACTGGAAAATTTGTGGCTGCCTTCCGTGGTCACGTTGGGCCTGTCTACCAAATAAGGTTTGGACTTTTCTGTTATACTTTTATCCATTTACAGACTATAGCTCTAATCAGCATGTCTTACTACAGTTGGTCAGCAGACAGTAGGCTGCTTCTCAGCGGAAGCAAAGACTCAACATTAAAGGTAAATTTTCTTTTCTGATAATTGAATCATCTCAAATAAATTTTCCTGGATTACTGTTCTGTAAGAGTCTAACTCTGGTCCACCAAAACAGAACAGATACTCAAGTTGAATAAATCCCTGATGCCTTCTTTTATGTTGAAATTACAATCTATATTTTCTACTGCTTAGAGCTTTCAGATATATTTTTTTTAATTTTTATTTTTTCTTCTTTTTTTGGCTTTTGATATGAAAAAAGGACTTGCTTTATGAAGATTATTATTACTAACAGGCCAATTGTGCTGATTTTTGGGTGGGCATTTGATTATTCAGGTTTGGGATATCCGGACGCAAAAGTTGAAACAAGATCTTCCTGGGCATGAAGATGAAGTAAGGCCTTCTATACCTCTTGTGTTTTTGGAAGGACACATTTTCATTTTCACAAACATTTTCATGTTTAATTATATTGCTAAACCTCTTGTGTTTTTGGAAGGGTTGTACGGGAATTGGGAAGAATAACGTTTTTGTTATACAGGTATTTGCAGTTGACTGGAGTCCAGATGGTGAGAAGGTAGCATCTGGGGGCAAGGATAAAGTCTTGAAGTTGTGGATGGGCTAGACACTTTCAGTTTATGGAAGAATTGGCTCAGATTATAGACTGATATAAATATGTTTTACACAATTTCGACGGGGTCCAAAAAGAAAAATATACTCGTAAAACCAAAGGGATTGATTATATTCCGTGGATTCAGGTAATTACTGCTCTGCTCCGCCAAATTCCTTTCACTCGAGTTGGTGACAAGTCATTTATAGGAGGATCTGGTGGGTGGTGCTTTTGCTGCATCTATGACAGATTATACACTCCTTATTGCATTTCCCTTTTTCTTTTACTTGTGTAAAGGAATACCTCTTCTTTGAGTTTTCTTCTTTTTTTGTTTTTTATATTTGTTTTCTATATTTGGGTAATGAAACGGAGCAATCTCGGTGTAATACAGAACAGTATACTCAAGATACATGTTTATTTCTATTGGTTGTGTTATGCTAATCAGTCTTCTCTACCATAATCGGCGTTTTTTTATTTATAAATTCGAAACGATGAGTTGTGAGTCCTGTTACACTCGAAGCACAATTTTCATTGTCATGGAATCTTGTTATACATAATCTTTTAGAAGTAGTGTAATTGGTTTATAAAACATATTATAGATACTAGATAACATAATATCCATACAAAATCCAGACAATCAAAAACTTACTTTCCCTGGAAATGAGATTATAAATTCTGAAGAAAGAAAAGTTATAAGCTTACTTTCACATAAGCTTCTACAGAACGAAAACGAAATAAGCTATATACCGGGGCTGAACAGAACAAAATCAATAAATATGAATCGAGATGAAATAATTCAGACACATTGAAATCTAGTTCTCAAATTGAAAACTTATATTACCAAGGATGCTGGTACAATGTAACTAACCTCCAAAGAACGTCACATACAATTCTTCAACGAATCACCCGCACCCTGGAAAAAGCAACACGAGAGGGCAAAATCGGCAATAAAAATCCCGACAAGAGACACAACCACAGCCGATGTAGTCGATTCACCGACCCCCTTAGCACCCCCCAAAGTCGTCACCCCCCAAGCACAGCTCACAACAGATATTATAGCCCCAAACACCCCCGACTTTATCATGGCACTGATTATATCCCACGAATTCAGAGCTCTCCGAGCAGAATCCAATATTATATTAATGCTAATCCCATAAACACTGTCCGAAAGCAAAGCACTAGAAGCCAACCCAACCGTAAAACACATCAAGGTCAAAAACGGGAGTGCAATGCACGAAGCTATCACCCTCGGTGTGATTAAATAATCCACCGGATCAGTTCCGAGTACCCTCAAAGTGTCGGTTTGTTCCGACACTTGCATTGTGCCTAGCTCGGCTGCAAAGGCACTTCCGAGGCGGCCCGCAACTACAATCGATGTCACAACGGGACTTAGTTCTCTTGCAAAGGCTAGGGCGAGGACCCCACCTACTGATCTGTTGAGGCCTAATCTCGTAAATTCCCTCACGAATTGGATTGTGAATGCCATGCCTACAAAAGCTGATGTTAAGAGACAAACGCCGAGCGATTTGGGGCCCACTCTCCTGAGCTGCTGGAGGGTGTTTTTCCAGTGGATTTTGCCCTTGATTGTTCGGATAATTACCTGTCCTGCCAGGATAAGGACTGATAGTCCTCTCCATAGGTACCTTGGAGGCGACCAGTTAGTTAGGAATGTGTTCGGTTCGTAATTTACGACGTAGGATTTTTCACTTGCTTCTTCTTCTTCTTCTTCTTCTTCTTCTTCTTCTTCTTCTTCTTCTTCTTCTTCAGAGACGGACGCACTTAAATGGCCGTCGTATGTGTTCAGTATAAAACGGTTGTTTTTTTTAATGGGAGCGATCTTCTTTGGAAGGAGGTGCTTGAAGCGGAAATTTGTAAATTTTGCAGCGGAATTGAAATTAGTAGAGCTACCTCTGCAATTTGTACGAGAATGTGAGGTAGATAACATTCACGTAAAATCGTCTATCGATGTTTAAAAGAAAAAAAGGGAAATAGACCTGTGATAAATGTGAATGACTGGACGAATCTGCGCAGCAGCTAGCATGTTAAGACGTAGAGGAAGATGCGGTCCTCTGTTTTTTTGCTTCGAAAATGAAAGAGCTGTCAAATGCCTTCGACTGTATATTTCATCAAAAGCCAATTCCCGAAGCCTGTAGAAACAAACACGGACAATTCATGATTAGCCGAAATTACAGTAATGTCAGATTAAACCAATTTAGATAACATGAAAGAGTAAAGATAAAAGAGGCATCTTCGACAGCAATTCACGACTAAACCAATACAAAAATCATGCATTTCTTTATTAAACTCTTTGAGTAATGATAGCATTAAAAAACTATTTGATTGATCAGTACTCCTATGAACATATTTCGTCGGAACTAGACATTACTAAACCGAAACCGAAACCGAAACCGAAACCAAGTACTACTTAAGCAAACATCAAAACTTCTTTGCATCTTGAATTTTTTTTTTATGTCATTGCGAAACTAATGCTTTTTGGGCAGCTACAGGATTAAAAGTAAGGGCTTACTGTCCAAATTTCACTGTCCGAGTTAATTTTCACCAGAAATGGTAACAAACAATCAAAAAACCCTAGATTCATCAGTAAGCTGGAAACACGGACAAAACAGTTCGAAAAACAAAAATTAACATAGTATCAGAAACAATGAAATCGGCCATCAATTTCGTAAGGGAAAAAAGACAAACCTGTGACAGAGAAATGAAGCATGTGAATTTCCAGTAAGAAGACGAACAGAAGAATGAAGAAACAAGATAGCATAAAATATCCAGAAATCGACCAAAAGTAGAGCAGATTCAAGTTGAAGAAGAAGAAGAAATCTGGGTTTTTTTTTTTTTATTAACGAATTTTATATAATAAAATAAATAAATAAATAATGTTGGCCTGATTTTATTTAATGGGCCATTTTCTAAGTTATGGGCCACTTACAAAATAATGTTGGCCTGATTTTATTTAATGGGCCATTTTCTAAGTTATGGGCCACTTACAAAATGGGCTAATCTTCAAGCACTATTCTATAGTCAATTGCTTATAGTTTTATAGGGCTGGCTATGAAATAAATTTAGTTTCAATATTTTTTTATATTTTTTTAATTATAATTATTATTATTGAAAAAATACTAGTATACTACTCCTATTCTTTAGCCATATATTTTTCCTTTTAGGTATATCAAGAAACCCTAAATAATTAGTAAGGAAAAAAAATCACATAATCTTTTCAATGTACAATATCTTGAACTAATTATGGACTGATTATCATGTCAATATATTTCAAATTCAAATACAATATAAATGATGTATATAATAATATAATGCATCCATTTAAATTACTTAAGTACACATCGGATTAATAATTTTTATTTATTTAAATTATAATTTATAATTCAAGAAACTTAGAAAGATGTAGAGAGAGAAGAGAGAGAGAGAGAGACACATTCTCCGTCCTCACGTCTCCTTTCTCTACAATAAAATAATAAAAAAATAAAAAAAAACAGGGAAAAAAAAAATTGATAATAAGCAAACAACAAACGGAAGGGACTAGGGAAAACTTAGAACAAATAAAAAGGGAATAAATAAATTTTAACAGCGTATCAATATTCTGCTCCACGCAATCAGAAACCCTCTCTCCGTCAATCGGTTCATCGTCCACGTTTCGACTTTCTTCCAAGAACAATCCTTTGTTTATTTGATTGATAAAATTATTTTTTTATAGTTGAATATATCCGATTCTCTTTTGTTTTTGCTTGAATTTTTCGTCAAAAAAAAAAAAAAAAAAGTGAAAATTCCAACTCTTTTGGATTCTGATTTAATTGCGGCGGCGGTGTTTGGCTTCATCGGAGGTAAAATTTATTCTTTTTGATGTTCTTAGTTTACTTAGTTATTTTATCTGGCTTTTTTCAAGAATATTGGGTGATTGTTTTCTAACTTGTTGATTATGGTTGTGCTTCTTTACTTTATTGATTTTAATTTTTGGGTATATGCTTAGTGTGGTTGATTATGATAGATTTGGGTTGTGGGTTTCTACAGAATTTAAGGTATTTTAGCTACCGTTTTAATTTGAGGAAACGAGACGAGGTTTTTCGATACTGCTACGTTGTTGCCAACTAAAGATTGGATTTTTATGCTTCTGGCAGCTGAGGGATGTGTTTTTGTTTATTTTTTTCTTAGAATTAGATGTATTTTGATTAAATTTCTCGAAATAATTATTGAGATGAGTTTATTGAAGTCTTTGGGTGAGCCCTTAAGGCTATTTGTTTTTTCTAATTTCAGATGATCAATGCCCTGTTGTTGATTGGGTTAGGGTTTCATCAGATATTATGGTATTAAACGACAAGTTTAACTAGCTGAAATATAGCTCAATTTGGTTTTTAATCTCAATGTCTTTAGTTGTTAATTTCTCTTTTGCCACTGTCTTTGCCTTGATTATAAATCTTTTGTCAGTTGATCTGACTTTGAGTTAAGTTGAAAAGATTTTTTTCAGCTGATAGTTGTATAGATGCTCAGAGTGAATATGGAGATACATAATTGACAGAGATTCTATTTGGTCTGGCAAAATATGTTGTTCATAGCGTAAAATTCATTTCAGTAGTCTTAGTGGAAAAGTTTTTATCTACTGTTTTTGTTATGTGTTCACACCTAAAACATTCGTTACATCCGCATTTGGAGAGTGTAAACTTTGTTTGAAGTACTTTGTTCTTACATATTGTTGATCGAATTGTTTGACTAAAATAATGTAACACGGCTTTTAGTTTCTTTTGATGTACGTATGTCATAATTATCTTCGATTGTTACATTTCAGGACCAAAGAAGAATCTCCCTTCTTTTTATTCGGATCTCCTACTTCCTTTCGTAGCAGTCAATCAAATTTTTATAGTTTTGCTGAAAGTTAACTAAGGTAGTTTTAATTTTTCAAGGTTCCATTATCTGTTAACTAAGGTAGTATATATATTGTAGCTACATTCTTGATTAGCCAATACTTAGTGCTGTTTCATTTGATCTGATTATATGCCCGAATAATTCACAAGTGCTTCACCACTTTATTAGTAAACTTTAATCTGATTCTGTTTTGCATTATTCAGCATGATCCTCTGATTAATTCTCCTGGGGAATGGACTGGCTTTTTTCGCCTGCTGTCATTGTTTATGAGTGATGTTCAGTGGGCAAAAAGGCATTCATGCACTTAATGTACTTAAGTGGAACTGGCGTAGTACTTCATCTCTAACTACTGGTCTGCTTAATGATAATTTCAATCAAGAAATCGAGCTTTCCGATTATCACAAAGCACCGAGTCCAGGCAGTGAAAGCCCGTCTGGGCTTCTTGATGGGGAGACTTTGAATGGCGAACAAATCGAAGATTTGGATCTCTTCTTTGAGAGGATTTACAATTATTACTGCGAGAAAGGCCTCTGGTGCATTATTATCAAGTGGATATTCGAGCTTCTGAGCTTGGCTTTTACCATTTGTTTTTCGGGTTTTTTTTTGCTGTACGTTGATTGGAATGGCCTACGCAATGCAAAATGTGGGATGGATGCAGTGGAATCTGGAATCAAACCTTGCGATTTGTCTAAAGAAGCTGTGCACGAGCATCCATTGACACCTTTTACTCTTGCAAAGGCTATAATTATAGGATATTTGGGAATATTCTCCATCTACTGGATTTTCTGTTTTTTGAGGTTCTTTGCACAATTGAAGGAGACTCTTAAGATCCGTCAGTTTTACTACAACAGGTATGACTTTATACGACAGAAAGTTGTGATTTTGGTGAGTAATTTGGTGTGATTAAATCTATTGAAATATGTTTTCTTTATGCAGTCTGCGTGTGACGGACAATGAAATACAGACGACTCCATGGTCGTTGATTCTTGAAAAAGTTGTTCGAGTGCAGCGTTCGCAGCAGCTATGTGTGGTGAAGGATCTTTCGATTCACGATGTGATGATGAGATTGATGCGCAAGGAGAATTACTTGATTGGGATGCTCAACAAAGGAGTGCTCGCCTTCCCTATATCTCGGTGGGTCCCAGGTGCCGGTACAGCTGTCAATGTCGGTCAAAACGGCGGTCAACATCGTCTCGTACTGCCAAAGACCCTTGAGTGGACCTTGAACTGGTGCATACTGCAGAGCATGTTTGACCGGTAAGTTTTACGTACTCCCTCACTGCAAAATAACATTCTGACAGGCAAATGTAATTTATCTGCTTTTGTTTCTGTGCAGAAACTTTCGCATAAGAAGGGATTTTGTTTCTGATCCGCAAACATTGACGAAGAGGCTTATGATAGTGGGGTTTGCCCTGCTTCTTCTCTCTCCGTTTCTTGTTATTTTCATGCTGGCATTTCTTTTCTTGAGGCACGCCGAACAATTCTATAATCACCCTAGTACAGCTTCGTCTCGTAGATGGTCAAATCTGTCCAAGTGGATGTTTAGGGAATTCAACGAGGTATTTTCTTGAATTTTAATCTCGTATTTGATCACTAAATCAGCTGGTTTCAATCGTCTACTTGTGTTCATTTCCGCAGGTTGACCATTTGTTCAAGCATAGGATCAATAGCAGTTTACTACATGCATCTGACTATTTGAAACAGTTCCCTTCGCCTATATTGGCTATCGTTGCGAAATTCATCTCGTTTGTTTCCGGTGGATTTGCCGCCGTGCTTATAATAATTGCTTTCCTAGAGGAATCTCTGCTCGAAGGCCATGTAAATTCAAGAACCTATCTTTTTTAAATTCAAGTACCAATCTTTTTTTCTTACATGCTTCCGTTTTTTTAATAACGTTGCAGATATTTGGTCGGAATTTATTCTGGTACGCGGCAGTTTTCGGAACAATAACAGCTATTAGCAGGGCTGCAATGATGGAGGAGCTTCTTGTACTTGATCCACAGGGGACGATGTCATTGGTTGTCCAACATACTCATTATATGCCTAAAAGATGGCGCGGTAAAGAGAATGTCGATACTGTCCGTCTCGAGTTCGAAACTCTTTTTCAGGTATCCATTGTCTCATATATATATATATATATATATGATACAATCTTCATTTAGTGCAATCATGTTTTTTTTTTTTTAAATTTTATTGACTGTCTAAGCTGACACATACGATTTTCGCGGTGCAGTACACAGGAATGATGCTATTGGAGGAGATGGCCTCGATCTTTCTCACACCGTACTTGCTTATATTTGTTGTTCCTCAGGTTTTTATTTTTCGTAAAGACAATTTTTTTTCATGATAAGAGAGTTACTTTATTTTTTTTAATACGATATTTTTTATGTTGCAGCGGGTGGGCGACATCTTACAGTTCATTAAGGATTTCACCGTTGATGTTGAAGGTGTAGGCCATGTTTGTAGGTACATTACAGGCACTTGTCTTCTCTTCATTTTACCTGTCTGAAAATTAGCCTGCGAAAACTCATCAATGCGTATTGTTTTATTATTCATTATTCATCGCAGTTTTAGTCTCTTCGATTTTAGAAGTCACGGAAACAGAAAGTACGCGTCACCGTTTAATTCAACTAGTGACCATAGAAGCTCGCAGGGGAAAATGGAGAAGTCGTTCTTGAGGTACATTTTTTTTTGTAATAAAAAAATAATAAATTCCCGGTTACATGTTCTTGTTTTTATCTTGAATCTTTCTCGAAATAAAATGCAGCTTTCAAATCGCCTATCCTTCGTGGGAACCTAATTCCGAGGGGAAGCAATTCCTCGCAACATTGAAAACATTTAGAGATCAAAAATTGCAGCAAGGTCACGGAAGAACATCTTCAAATATGTCGTCTGGTAATAATCCAAATTTCCGAGGGTTTGGTTTGAACGATCGAAACAACAGCTTTTTCTCAAGGGAAATGCCTTTCACAAATATCGGAAACTTCAACCAGTTAGAATCGATGTGGCTGATAGACGGCGAACAAAAGAATTTCCCGTACATTTTAGATTGGTATTACACCTCACAGAATCACGACAGAGACGATAGTCTACGAGATACGCCACCGAGGCGCGACGAAAATATTCACCCGCAAGATTTGTGGGTCCCGCCCGATTTAACAAGAAACAACCCGGAATACGACGAGAACTGGGGCGGCATTGACAATAATTTAGGTTACGATCTAGAAGGTTCTAGATCAGCTCCTCTTTTCCAAGAAAGCGTCTTGCTACAGCAGCGTAACGAATCGGACGATTCCAGAGATGCCCCCGCCAAGAGCCTCTGGTGGGCCCGACAAAAAACGCAAAATGAAGGCGAAACGAGTTTTATCGAGCCCCCGAATTTCTACGGTGCCGAAAATACTTTTCGGGGTGGTTACGAAAATTTGTCGGAGAGAAGTGAAGAGGAAGAAGAAGAGGAGCAGCTGGACTTGAGAAATTCGAGGGGTTTGTCGAGGACTTTCTACATGGATGACGTGGACGGCGGAGATTTCAATCTTCCGTTTGTTGATATTTACGGGGCCCACGAGGAGAATGCCAACGAGGGTGAAAACGACGATCCGTTGAATATTGTCTGATTATTATTGTTATTTGTTATTGTCTTGCTTTTCTTAGACAACTGAAGATGTATAAGGGCTTTCCTTTCATGGTTTATTATTATTATTTTCTAATCTATTTTCCATGGGAGACGAATTTCGGAGCTCTGTATTCTTTCTTGTATATAATTTTGTACATAATTCGAATTATGGACCTTTTCATCTCGTTCCGATGGATGCTAACGACATCGTTTAAGTCACAAATTGTCGTAGGGATTTGATTCTTATCGTTTATTATTTATGTGGATATACTAGTTGTTTTTCCCTACTTGTATGTGAGAGAAGACTAATGAACTAATTTATGAAAATAACTATAAAGTTATTTCTAATTTTTTATTTTAATTGACCTATTTTCCCCCCTTTTTCTTTAGATTTTTGTAATTTCCCATATAAATTGATATAAATTAGGGTAAATTACGAAAATCCCTTGACCTTAGGCTAAATAACGAAAAATATCCCCATCTATCCGTAGTAACCAAAACCCTCATCTGATTAACTGTTGGTCGAGTTTTTTAGTTGAAATGTGTACGGCGGAAACAAACCTCAGGGGTTTTTGGTAATTACGAATAGGTAGGGGTGTTTTTCATTATTTAGCCTAAGTTAAGGGGGATTTGGGTAATTACGAATAGGTAGGGGCGTTTTTCATTATTTATCCTAAGTTCAGGGGTTTTTTCATAATTTAGCCTAAAAATTATTTTGGTGATAAAATATAATAAAAAAATAATAAATATATTTACATATTTCCAGGGTTTTTCGAAGGGTTTAACAATTGACTCTGCAACTACGAACAGTGAAACAACATACCACCGTTTCTTCTTCTTCACAGATCGCTCGCCATGAGAAAAGCTTTCTCCAAACTTCATTTTTACTTTCAAAAGCCACACACTAGAACCCCACTTCCTCTTCTCTCCAGAGGCTTCGCCGCCGCAGTTGATCGCACTTCCACCCGCACACCAAAACCCAAACCCCATGTCGAATCTCGCTCCGGCACTCGGTCTTTACTCAAATTCCATCGGATTCAGACCAGCCCATCTCATAATTTCAGCACCCTCGTCGACCCAATTGCTCAAATTTCTTCGCAGATGCCATCAAGGCAGAGAAAACTCAAGGAAATATCAGATCTCGAGGAGAGCTTCGAGTCGGCGAATTCCATCGAAGAAATGCTCGATGCTTTCAAAGAAATGGAGAATTGCTACGAGGAGAAGGATTTAGGTATGGCCTGCTTGAAAATCGGCCTCAAACTCGATCAAGAAGGCGAACACCCTCAAAAGGCTCTGTCTTTCGCCGAAAGGGCTTTGCGAATTTTCGACGAAAACGATAATTCTAGTAGTGTTGTAGGTACTAGGTTGTCTTTGCCTCTTGCTATGACTCTGCAGCTGTTAGGTTCTTGTAGTTTTAGTCTGAAAAGGTTTAATGACAGTTTGGGGTATTTGAATAGGGCCAATAGGGTGTTGAGTAAGTTCGAGGGGGAGGGTTCGCGTAACGACAATGATCGAGTTTTGCCGGTTTTACACGCGGTCCAGTTCGAACTGTTTAATGTTAAGACAGCTATGGGTAGGAGAGAGGAGGCTCTTGTTCATCTTAGAAAAGCTTTGGAAATCAAGGAGAAGACTTTGGAGGAAGATAGTAACGAGCTCGGTAAAGCCAATCGAGATGTGGCAGAGGCCTACGTTGCCGTTTTGAACTTCAAAGAAGCGCTGCCGTTTTGTTCAAAGGCATTGGATATACACATGTCGTACTTGGGTCATAACTCGGTGGAGGTTGCGTACGATAGGAGGCTTCTTGGAGTTATCTACACTGGGTTAGACGAGCACGAAAAAGCTTTGGAGCAGAATCAGCTGTCGAGGAAGGTCTTGAAGAAATGGGGTCGTAGTTCCGATTTGCTCCGTGCAGAGATCGACGCTGCGAATATGCAGATCTCGTTGGGTAAGTACGAGGATGCTATCGACACTTTGAAGGGCGTCGTGCAGCAGACCGAGAAGGATAGCGAGGATCGAGCTATGGTGTTTAGTTCAATGGCCAAAGCTTTGTGCAACCAGGATAAGTTCGAGGATGCAAAGAAGTGTTTGGAAGTTGCATGCGGAATTCTAGACAAGAAAGAGAGAAGTTCGCCTCTTGCTGTGGTGGAATCGTTTATGGAAATCTCGATGCAATACGAGGCGATGAACGAATTCGAAACTGCAATATTGTTGCTAAAGAGATCGTTGGCAATGTTAGAGAAGCTGCCTCAAGAGCAGCATTCTGTAGGAAGTGTTTCTGCAAGGATTGGTTGGCTGCTTTTATTAACAGGGAAGGTGGAACAAGCGATCCCGTATTTGGAAGACGCTGCAGAGAGGTTGAAAGAGAGTTTCGGCTCGAAGCATTATGGGGTAGGTTATGTTTATAATAACTTGGGGGCGGCTTATTTGGAATTAGATAGACCGCAATCAGCTGCTCAGGTTTTTGCGTACGCGAAAGATATTATGGATGTGTCCCTCGGTCCTCATCATACGGATTCGATTGAAGCGTGTCAGAATCTATCGAAAGCGTACGCAGCTATGGGAAGGTAAAAAGTTGCTAAAAAGTCGTTTCTTTGATTCTGAATCTAGTTTGTTTCTTGCTTTTACTGATTTAATTTTTTATTTTTACATAATGTCATTTGTAACCAATTTCTTTCGATTTAGCAGCTATCCACTAGCAATAAACTTCCAGGAGAAAGTAGTCGAGAGTTTGGAGGGACACGGAGCAAGCGCAGAAGATGAACTGAAAGAAGCGGTTAAAATAATGGAGCAGTTAAAGGAGAAAGCTAGTATTCAAGTCTCTGAAGCTCTTTTGAGTTCCATGCCTTTTCCCGACAACGACGATGAACCGTTCTCTTCCGATAATTCACAGCCTCGTATTTCCTCTTCGAAAAGGTAACACGACGACGGACCCCCAATATTTTATTATACGACGAACAGCAACGAGGACTTCTGATCTGGCACCCCCGTTTTCTTGATTATTGATTTACTCTTTGTTTTGGTTAAATCTTGATTTCGCATAATAATAATAATGTATTCTTGCATTGTATATGGTGCTTTCTAAGATTTATGTATGTTAATGTACAATGGTGAGATCATAATGTATGTCTGAATATATATTATGATCTCGTATCAATGGTCAAAGGGGGGAATTGGTTGTCTGTGCTAAACCTTGTGAAGCATTTATTAAGCATGTGCAAAATATATTGCAGATTTTTAATGGCTTAGATGAGGAATTTTTTTATAATATATTTACTGTTTTTTTTTTTTAAACTAATATATATTTTTTAAATATTTGTTTCTCAGCATTAGTGTAGGGATGTTGGCTAATAGTATATGGAGCATGTGAAATGTTGATTAATTTGGAGAGAAATGTGTACTTTCTTTTAGAAGTTTGAATCTGAAGCTTTAAATGCTATTCTGCATGTTACATATATTTATATATATTTTTTTAAAATTTTCACACTTGACTTATAAGGAAGTCAACACAAAGAAATAGAGATGGAAACACTCCACGTTTGTTTCATACTATATACTCAGTGAACGTGTATAGATCCGTACATATTTTGCACACATCCACATGTATGCGTGTGATTGTGTGTAAATGAAAGACGAAACGAGTTTTTTTTTACGTACAAGATCAACACTCGAATTGGCACATTTTGTGCCTCTCCAATTACTAATGAGATGAAACATAATCATTATCGTTCATTCATGAAGAATTATACGACTCCTTTTCGTCCCCTGTGTAACGTTCTTGTTCTTACAATCAAATGCACCTTTTAATACTACAATCTTAATTCCTTCAATCCTACTCTAAACACCAAAAATAGACACACAAAAAAATGGAAAAAGAACCCTGTTTTTTTTTTTTTTTTTTTTTTTTTTTTTTTGCAGTGTGCTAAAACTCGAAGGGTAGAACAGACTTTCTCGAAGAACCTCGTCCATGGCCGAACGAGAAAATCGACCTCCTGCTTCTGCTACCACTGCTCTCGTCATAGTTCCTCACCTCACTGAGCTGCCTATTCTGCCTTAAAATCTCTTGTACCGACAAATAAACATGTCTATCCGCAGCAGAATCCATCGAAAAAGACCTTCTAATTGGCTGCACACCGCAAAACTGCTCGTCTTTCTCTCTAACAACGTTAATCCCTTCATCTCCCATAATCGAAACATGATGGGATTTTCTAGGTCTAGACCTCTTCTGCTCGAAAAACTTCCTCCACGAATTGCTTCTCGACTGCACCAAGAATCCACCCGAATCATCATCGTCATCTTCTTCTCCAGTTAGCTGAATCTCCACAAAATCTTCGTCACTTGCAAAAATCGGATCTTGAGGCGAAGAATTCGGGGCAACGATTCTGTCGAAACGAAACCGGTTCCTGCCGGAAATAGTTGACCGGCATAGAGGGCAGTTGGAGTTTGTTTGGAGCCAGATATCGATGCAGTCTAAATGGAAAGCATGTCCACATTTAGGGAGAATCCTTAACATATCTTTGTCTTGAAATTCGTTAAGACAAACGACACATTTGGACAAGGTTGTGGTTGTGCTTCTGCTGCTGCTTTCTCCGAGATGCTTATTGGTGTATTGGAAAGTGGGGATTTGCCGGATAAGGAGTTCGTTGAGGCCACGGGTTTGCCAGGTGGCAGGGGAGTAGGACGATGCGAAAGGGTCGTCGTTCAGTTGCGATTGTTGTCTGGTGGTGGAGAAACAGCGCGTCAAAGGGTCGATGAGTTGCCATCTGAAGCAGCACTTTGTGACGAAGATGTAGTAGCTGATTAGTAGGAAAGCTGTGGCGGCGATGCCTAGTATGGCGACCGCTATTATCGGGACTCCGCTGTTGTTGTTGTTGTTGTGTGAAAAGGGTGGTGGTGGTTGGGTGGTTATGGGAAGAGAGTGGGAATATTCCGGTGGGAAAGTGAAGGTTTGGGAGGCAGCCATTTTATGGAGAAGGTTTCAAGAAATTAATACACTCTACTGTGTTTGAATGATGATGATGATGATGTTAGGTATAAGCAAGAATAAGATCAAGAGAGAGAGAGAGAGAGAGAGAGAGAGAGAGAGAGAGAGAGTATGGGGAAATGAAAAGTCAAAGGTTGTAAAACATGTGCATGAAGATGCTGAGACATGGACATGGGAGTGGGGGGAGTAGTAACCCAAGTTGACCGTCAACGCATAGATAGAGAAGGGTTCTCATGGGACATGCTTCAATTTATTTATATTTGAAATATCTAAATTGCCCTTTCTGATTTTTTTCATTTGACAAAAAGTCAAAGTTTCTAATCTCTCTCTCTCTCTCTCTCTCTCTCTCTCTCTCTCTCTC